AGTTTCAATAAGTTCGAAGAGTTCAGTTTCATCTCAGCAAATTTAGTTCAATTTTCATTTCATATCCAAGTGAGGCTTTCAGGGAAAGCATCAATTCATTTCTCAGTTCAGTCCCGGTGATCCCAATCCCAGTGAGCTCAATTTTCAGTTTCAGTGGGTTCATGTTGAGTGAACTCCATCGATAATCTCAGTTTACTCTTAGTAGGTTTCATTCTTAGGGGACATAACGCTGATCACAACAGGCTGTCAAGGTGAGAGCAGCGACAGTGCTGGCCATAGCTAGAGGTCCCAGTGGTAGCAACGACTATGCTGGTCACAGCGGGCAGTCCCGGTAACAGCAACGGTAGTGCTGGCCATAGTGGGAGGTTCCGGTGGTAGAATCAACAATGCTGATCACAACGGGCAGTTCTAGTGACAGTAGAAACAAACTAGGTCACAACACCAGATCCCGGTGGTAGCAGCCAGATGCTAGTCACAATAGGCAATCCCAATGACAACAGCAAAGTGTTGGTCATAGCGGTCTCTCCTGGTGACAATAACAACAGTTTATGTCATAACAAGTGTTGTTGGTGACATCAGTGCTCAACAAGACTGATCAGATGATAACTGAGTAGTTTCAAAATTAGCAAATATTTGAGTACAACAAACTCATGGCGGTACTTTCTTGAGCACGATAGATATGTGGAGAAGAACAGATATCAAACTCAAGACTTAAGCACAATCATTAGATGCAGGCCACATCAGACCTCCTTACAAGTTCATGTCAACACCATGCGTAATCGCTCAAGGATCACTAAACAACATACTAACCATTGTCTGATTTCTAAGTATGACATAATCTTCTGAGGGGAGAGAGAAAGCTGACTACAGAGACAATGGTTTTATGTTATGTCTGTCATTTTGTGACCTTGATGCGGTAAACAACTGATCCTGTCTCGTCAAGTTGGTCAGTGTCCTGCCTCTTGATCTCTTTTCACTTCTTGTTTGCTCATGTCACAGTTCCCTATCATAAATGCATTATGTTGTGCATGCAAGCTATTTGATTATTCAGTTCTTATTATTGCATGATCATTGTAGTTTTGAATCATAATCAAAGATTCCTAAGACCGGGGACCGGTGTAGACCGTAATTGAAGGGTCCCGCTTGAAGCCGGACGCACACAACAAGAACGGATTTGCATTAATTAATTAATTAATTGCAAAATTCATCAAAATCTTGCGTGACAGCCTGTTGGCTTTCTGGTCGCCAGAGGTGGTTTGACTAAAAAAAGCGCGACAGCACGCGCAAGAGCGTAAGCACGTGAAGTAAAAGAAGAAATAAGATTAGCGAAGAAAATAAAAATGAAAGGACAGACAGGCAAAGAGACAAACAAACTAGAATGACACAAAACAGTGTCCTCTTATTCTTTGGTTCACTGTATTCTTATTTCTTTCAATGTTTTACCAAAAAAAAAAAAAAAAAAAAACCCCACTGAACAAAGGATAAAAATAAAAAACAAAGACACATTGATTCAGTTTCTCAGTCTTCTTAACGCCTCCTCCACCGTGCCTCTAACGTAAAAGGCTCGCCACGTTGATGAAGTTGAGTGCGAGCTGCCCCCATCCCCGTATGCCATAACAACCCACTTGCACGCTATGGGAAAGAGGCAGAGTGAAGGGAGAAGTGTTAAACACCAGGAAGAGAGGAGCAGAAAAAGAATACCGATAGGCAGAGGGAGGGAAAAAAAAAAGGTGACACAAACATCTTCTTTCTTTTACTGCATTCTTCTTTCTTTCACAGTTTTGCAGTTTTGGTGAAGACTACCACGTTCACTTTTCAACGCACCTACACTTCTTCATTTTTCATTCTCATTTTCACCCTTCAGACTTTTTCTTCAAGGTGTTAGGGTGCAAGGTACAAACAAAGCAAAATGACACAAACTTATGTTATTCTTTTACTGCATTCTTCACCGTTTTGCAGTTTTAGTGAAGGGTTTCCCACCTTTGCACATTCTTGTACACTCTTTTCAACGCACCTGCACATTTTTGTCAGGGTGCAAGGTACATCTAAGGAAGACCCTCACGACATATAGGACAATTGTCATAAGGATGCGGGTGATGGTAGCAGCCCTCCCGCTGATCTACATGACGAAAACCATTCAGGTAAGCAACTTCGTCACAACAGGAGTCAGGGCAGCTAGCATCACCCATACCTCTGAAGCATGCACAACAGAAGGCATGCGGGTTGCAGGCCATGACGATTGTGGGGCGTTCACCATCATAGTAAAGTGCACATTCGCTATAGCGCCCGCAGGCATGGGACATACTGCATCTGGATGTAGAGGATGTTCACAATCCGAATACAAGTGGCATCCCTGTCGACAGCGGGCCCGAAAAATTATACGGTTGTACTAATGTCGACAAAGTCGATGCTTTCCACAACCAATTCTAACCATGTCAGTGATCTCACAAAGAAGGAGGTCACAAGGTGTTAGTGCAGCATGTGGGGGAATGAAGACTAAAGCAGGCATGGTGATAGACATGGAGGTAGGCACGAAGACAAACACAGAAACGGGCATGGAGACAGGTGTGGAGGCAGGCACAAAGACAGGTGCCGAGGCGGGGACGAAAGTACACGAGGTACCCGTAGGGTCAGTAATCTGGAAGGAGAGACACAGAAACAGGCACAAAGACAGGTACGGCTGCAGGCACAGAGACAGGTACGGAGGCAGGCACATAGATAGGTGTAGAGGCGGGCATGGAAGTACACGAGGTACCCATAGGGTCAATGACCTAGAACAGTTGCATGTTAGGGTAATTACGCAGGAGATCACAGATGGCAGTAATAGTTTGCACCATAGCACCGCCATTCCATAATTCCCAAGAACCGGAGGCACAGACAAGAGCGGTGTAGTGGCCAGGAGCATGTAGAATATAGGCACAAACGTGCGAACAGTGGTTTGGGTCGCCACCCGAAGGGGCACGCTGCATATCAAGCCAGCGCCTTATCAAAGCAGACTCCAAAACAGAGACAATGAATCCCCCATGTCAAGTGTAATCACTATCCTGCGGCGGATGCAGAGTCGGCCTATCGCCATATAACTCACGTTCCTCAGCATCAAGACCGGAAGCAATGGCCAAGAAACCAGAGTGAGTATATGGTTCCCGACGATAGGCTTGTAGGCAGATGTTCGTAGCATCGAGGCTACATAAATTCGGTGGAGGCCGGTCATGCGGATTTTCTACAGAATCTCCTACAGTCCCCTTGCCAACTTCATCCTCGGATGGTCCCTTGCCATCATCCCTCCTATTTTGTGTTTGTCGCGTTGTAGAAAGGTTTGCGGTCGAAGAGCGTCGCAGGCGTGGTACGGATGCTTGGGGCGGCAAAAGACAAGGACGAGAAGTTGGGGAGGGCCGTGGTGGGGATAATGAACGGGTTCTTCTTCGTCCAAGAACAAAGATGGAGGAAAGGGGAGTAAGCTGAGGTTGGGGAGTAGGCCGAAGCCGACGTCTGAAACGGCGAAGTAGACTTTCTGCAAGGGCAGTCCAAAACCGCCAATAACCCCTCCAACACTCCCATACCCGCCCCCAATACCTCCATACACCCCCCCAACACCCCCAAACTGGCCCCCAACACCCTCATGTTAGTAGCAGCGAGGCCACACAGATTCTGTGGAGGTCGGTCAGGCGGATTTTCTACAGAATCTCCTACAATACCCTTGCCAAGTTCATCCTCGCATGGTCCCTCGCCATCATCCCTCCTATTTTGTGTTTGCCGCGTTGCAGAAAGGTCTGCAGTCGAACAGCGTTGCAAGCGTGGTGCGGATGCTTGGGGCGGCAAAAGACAGGGACGAGATGTTGGGGAAGGTCGTGGTGGGGAGAATGAACGGGTTCTTCTTCGTCCAAGAACAGAGATGGAGGAAAGGGGAGTAAGCTGAGGTTGGGGAGTAGGCCGAGGCCGGCGTCTAGGATGGTGAAGTAGGCTTTCTGCAGCGGAAATCCCGAACCCCCAATAACCCCTCCAACACCCCCATACCCGCCCCCAATA